GTGACCTTAGTTCACATTTTAGAACTCACACAGGGGAGAAGTCATACAGATGCATGCAACATGGGAAGTCGTTCAACTGAAGGAATGATTTTACTTCCCACAAGATAATGTGCACAGAACCGGAACTATATTATGACTCCAGTTTGTCACCAAATCATTTGAAGTGATGCTGGTGTAACTATGTCGGACCCTATACTGAGATAATACAAATGGCATGATGTGCAATTGGACACATGATTCCAATTTTATGACAAGGATTCTGGCCAAAATATATGACGTGGTAACAGCTTTCATGACAGCAGGTTGAAGATAAGTGTGGCTTTCAGTCCACCTCGGGCTTAAAACTTTTTCTGCAGGGTGGGCATTCCAGGGTTCTTGACAGTTCTCTAGAAAAACAAGAAAACAAGAAAATAATTGTTTGCATTATTTGTGCTAGTAAAGTACAAAGTTTTTAGAGTGATGTTTTTGCCAATGAAAATTTAATTCTTCCTACTTTATTCTCCAGCAGTTAATTTTTTCATTTGGTGATTTTAGAGGATTAAGTGTTCTTTTAAACCATAAGAGTTAATGGTTGTTAATTCCAAGTTCCTTATTTCAAATTACTTCTATTTACTCATTCCAAAATTCACCCATAAAAAAAGCAATTGTGTCAGTCACATTGACCATGCAGAAGAAAAATAAAAGAGAAGCACTGGGGCACTTTCAGGACTGAAATAATCATTCCTTTTTTTCCCTCTGTGAATGTTGTACAGTGGTGCCTCGCATAGCGACGTTAATCTGTTCCAGATTAATCGTCACTATCCGGAAACATCGCAATGCGGGGGGGAATCCCATAGAAACGCATTAAGCTTCATTTAATGCGTTCCTATGGGGCGAAACCTCACCGTTATGCGCAGATCCTCCATAGTGCCGCCATTTTCGCTGCCTCGGTAAGCAAGGGCAGCGCGCGAAAATGCTTGCAGCGGCCATTTTGGGCACCCGGTGGCCATTTTGGAACCACCAATCAGCTGTTCCGCAAACGCTTACCGATCATCGCAATGCGATGTTTTGCCTATTAAAACATCACAATGCGATTGCATTAGCAATCTCAAAAAATAGATCGCTATGTGGATTTGTCGTTAAACGGTGCGCTCATTATGCAAGGCACCACTGTACTTGGTTCCCACATACTGTATTTATATACATTGCGGGTTTAGTAGTGGGGTGGGTGGCCAGGGAATTTTTATGGGTTTTCAAAGTAAGAATGGCATTCTTAATACTGTCAAGTCATTTCCAAAACCCTAATTAATTTTTTTGGGAAATCTAAGGTGTCCAGGAAGTGGTTAGGCCTCCTGAGTCCTTTTCTAGCAACGCACTGTCTCCCATCGTAGGTTTTTAGAATTTGGGTGAGTCTTTTGATGACAGGCTTGTTCTTGCCTTCCCACCAGTGAATTTCTAGGACAAATGAGTCCTGTCTGACACTATCCGTTGTGACCCTACACTTGGCGGGTGAAATTAATGAGATAATTGACCGTCAGAAATGTTCGGCGTCTCTCAGTAGGCTCTGTATAAAAGAAGGGAGGCTTTCTGCTAGAAGAAGCAACAGCATAAAGAAGAATATACTGTCAGAATGTCTGCCTGACAATTTGAAAGGCGTCACCGTGGATGTTTCTTTGTGGATTAGAAAATGGCTAAATACTGTTCAGAGATAAGCTCTGAAATTCCAGAGACTTCAAGTAACTAATTTAAAGGCAACTGGAACAAACAATGAGCAGTTGTACTTTGGGACATTTAAATATATATATTGCACGTGTATTCCTTGAGAAAGCAATAATTGGTGGACATGAATACAATGCAAATTGTATTTTTGTAAATAAATAACTATTGAAGGCAAGATTCTGCTGTGCCATTCTGCACATTAAAAAAAATCAGGTGAGCCCCAGTGCTAATTGGATGGGTTGCCTCTCTCAGAATCCCATTGAGGGAATGAAAAAAAATCCCCCTTCCAGGTGGGCGAGATGCCAAGATGTCCACACATTCATTTATTTATTTATTTATTTATTTATTTATTTATTTATTTATTTATTTATATCCCGCCTATCTGGTCGTTTAAGACCACTCTAGGCGGCTAACAGCATTAAAAAGTACAAAAAATTTTAAATAGAAGAAACCTTAGGAGAGGGAGGAAACTGGAGGTAGGAAGGGCCGTGAGGAGGACAAGAGACAGACGGGGGGGGGTGCGAAATTGCCGGCCCCTCATAACCTCCCCTCCCCCCTTCTTGTCTCCCTCCATTAATGAGAAGATCCTTCCTTTGAGGGGGAGGGGAAGGAACCTAGAGCTGCGAAGGCTGGAAGAGGCGCTGCTCTCACAGGAAGCGGAAGCCCTGGGGGTGCCCCCCTCCTCTCTCCCTCTCCTTCCCTCCCACCTCTATGGTGCTCCGAATATCTTCCCGCATCAGATCTTGGCAAGAGGTGGGCAACGGAGGGGGGGAAGTGTCGAGGGGAGACTTTGCCT